CCGATAGGCTGGGGCGTAGGCGTGCGCCGCATAACTCAAAAGAAGGCATCTACATTTCTAAGCCCCTTTTCTAATTTTCGATGATTAAATGTGTTTTTGGGCGGTTGGAGAAGGGATCAACTCCAACCTGGACGTATGCTTTCGGGAAGTTCTCTTTGTACAATTTCCACATTTTTCAGAGTTTTGAAAAGAGTGAAACCTTCAACTGTTTCATGCCACATTTTTTATTCACATGCCACATTATTTATTTATATTTTTATAATATTTGTTAAAATTTAAGTATTTTATTGCCTTATTTATTGTAAGGCAATAAAATACATAAATTTTGGTATGTTAACTCTGTACGATTAAACTAAAGCACCCATCCGTTTCTCATCACTATACATTTTAAAATGAAGCTATACATTCAGTTTTGTCGGGGAATTAACATTTAACGGGGATTAACATTTTATCGAAAATTTAACTCACGACCCCTTTTCTGTGCATGGGGGGGGGGGGCACGGCCCTCTGTGCGCACACACATGGGCCAGGGCCTTGACCATAATATTTTCCCAACAATCCCCAGTCCAGGTAGAGCGTTTGTCATATTTTGCCCTTCATATTCGATCACTTTTAATGTGACTTTCTTCACATTTATTTTGACTGTGGTGTCTTCAAGTCATGTAGTGGTAACTTCAAAACTATAAAAACAGCTGCACTATAACACCCAAAATCTAGAAACATCAACAATACCGATCACATTAACAGTTATTATGTCACGCAGGGGTGACATTGACGAGAAGTGGAGACACGAGGGACACATCCCCTTATTTTCAAGTAAAGCTAGTAGTTTTTGTTGTATTTAATTTTTGTTGTAAAGAGACTCTCGGTAAAGAATTACGAGTATATTTATTCGTCATATGACATTCAGTCTATGAAATGATAACATGACCTTGCCAACTGCCAACTTGCCCAACTTGCTCTGTGACGGCACAAAAATCTGCTCGAATCCGAATCGCGGAGTGGAAGTGCCCGACGCGGCGGCAGCGTACAGTGTTGGAATTGGATGGTGCGGAAGTGAGAGGAAAAAACTCGCTCGATAATTACGTTTTTAAATGGTAATCATTATTTAAATGTTTATGATTCAATAAAATATTTAATAAAATTAAAAATATAGACTATTTCATAACTCAAAAGCAATATCCAACTGTATTTATCGTAACCAGTACTGTAATTCCGGCGGTTTTTCGTAATTTAAAACTAGTGGTGCTAAAGCAGCCTGTAGTTTCTCGCCATTAGTAATGGTTATGTAATACCATTTATAACACAATTTCTCTCCGAGTAATTTTTTGTAAAACACATTTGAAACCGTGGAATATTTGGTGCGAATAATAAGCAGAATGCGAGAAAGTAAAATAATTAAAAGTTAATAAATAATACGTTAGTGATAGCGTTGGAAAACAAATAGATTTTTTGTATCCAACAAGAAAATTTAATCATGAACGAATGTGCATTTTTTTTATTTGGAAAATGTCCAGGGAGTTCATGTAAAGTACCACCCAAAATTACAATATCAATTTCAAATTCAAGGGGCCGTGACGCCTGATCTATTGGAGAATATCCATTTTGGAGAAAATCAGCTGAACGGTTTAGCCGCTAGTGTTGTTCACAGGCAGACGGACGGACAGACGTTTTGCCGGCAATCGATTTTTCGGTATCAAAGACCCACAAAACAGGTTTTCTTGTGTTTTTGGATAATATAAAGAATATACAACTAATTTACTGTGAATATGTCAACTACATAGTCAATATATTTATTATAGTAAATACATTTACTTCCTCGTTCTGTATTTTTACTACTCATAGGTGCTACGAAATGGAAGCAATATTACCCCAGGAATATATTTTGAAAATACGAATTATGGATTATGATATTTCATCAAGAGATGATCTGATTGGAGAGACAACAATTGATCTAGAAAACCGCTACTATAGTTTTCATCGAGGAACATGCGGCATTGCATCACGATACGATGAGTAAGTTAAAATATAATATATTGAAAGTGAAATTGGTCTTTTATTTGATTATTCAGTGTTTCAAATTTTTCGTTGGTAGTGATACATTTTTTAGTATTTTTCAATACGTTTATGCGTTTTTTTTGCAGTTTGAACAAAACGAACTTTTTTCAAAAACTGTAAAAGCAACTGCGTCTCCTTTTAAAAAAATTGTCAGACACTTGATTTATCCGTAGCCTCATTAGCTCAGAACTACGATAAAATATAATTGATCTTTGATAACATAACTCCTATTGCGCAGTTTATTGTTGATGATGGGCGATACCATTTAATGAAACATCACATTTGATCAAGAATATGAAAAATTGGAATGAAGTTTTCATTATGCTTTTTTGGAAATGTAGTTTCCGACGAATGTGAAAAGTGCCATACAATTTTACAAAACCCATGGAATTTGCTTCATACTTGCTTGCATAATTTCTTACGTGCAGATTTTGTAATACATGAGTTGCATTTGAAGGTAAATGAAAAACGATAGTTCCTAGAAATGAATATAAATGCGAAGAATCATACTCAGGATAACCTAATGTAATGATGGGTGAATCGCCGATGTTGTAATTTTGAAATCTAGAGACGCGTTTTGAATTAAATATTAAATTGTCATTATTGATTATTTCCAAAAACATTTGAACAAACGCTTGACAATGCATAGACATCACAATCCATAAAGGATTATCCTTCCTTTTTAGCATGAACGCGTCATATGATCTTAAACTTGCAAGAGCTCAGAGACTCGTAAAAAAATATTCACATGATGTTGATGTTTGAAGTTCACATGATGTTGAAAGTTCAAAAACTTCTTTGTTTTTTCAGACAGGCTTTCGGATATAATTTATACTAATTTATGCAAAATGATTTTTAATGATAAACTGTTTTCGTCTTTTCCAAATGTAGAGAGATCCAATGCACATTTTGAATTCGCCCTTAAATAATTATTCTGGTAAAAGTGTTTTCAGAGAATTAAAGCTCAACGAACTTATTTGCATTCCTCTCTGGGACGCGGAAAGCTTGCTTTTCATGGAAAATGATGAACTTAAGATTTCACTTTTGGCGGTTTCATCCAGCAATTCAAACAAATAGGGGTAAATTGATCAAAGCAAAGATAATGTCTTTTTTATTTTTATTTTCTTCCCGTTCGACTTTCGTCTTTCAGGGATTTTTACTGGTACAATGTTACATACAATGACTTTACTTGGCCATCCTCAGGCAAATGCGGGTCTCGGAATAACCCTTCACTATGTTTATATATCATATTTGAATAACTTGACTAAAATAAGTTTGACTTTATTGCTTGGAAGTGAAGAGAGAGTGTTTGTAGAAAAATAGGGCAAATAATTTTATGAATTAGGGTGGTCGAAAGAGCTTTTTGGAGAATCTGGATCTAAAGCGTGATGGATAATGTGCGTTTTGGCCGAGTTTGAATATTGGAGTGTTGGAACATGCTGGGAGGAGAGAGTAATATTTTTGAGAGGTTTATGAGATGAAATCTGAGAGCAGAGGTACTTGAACGTCTCGGTGGATTTGTGAATTAGAAATGAAGTTTTCAAGGTTTGTCTTAGATATTTGTTTTGAATTGTCTTTAAAATGGATAGATTGGTTGGTGTTGTGTTGCGTCATATTGGAAAAGCGTATGTCATCGTGGGTCTTATTATCATTTTATAGATGAGCAGCCCGGTTTCTATACTGAGGGACACATTTCAGTTTATAAAGGGGCAAAGCTTTAGAACTTTGGCACGAGTCTTATGGGCTGTTGATTAAATGTGCGGTTTCCACGTTAGCCGTTTGTTCTGCAAGACACCTAGGTATTTGGCCGGCGAAGAATGTGAAGGCCAGGGGACATCGGTGTTATTTATTCGTAGGGGTGTAGGGAAGGGAGGACGTCTGAGTGTGAATATTCTGGATTGTTATTTTTAAGGGTTTATTTTAATTCTCCATTTTTTCGTCCAGTTCGTAAAACTGTAAATGTAGGATTGTATGGAATCATAGGCTAACTTTATATCACTACGTGAAGTGAAAATTGCGATATTGTCAGCATAAAGTGTTATACTTGCTTCGTGTGAAGATGGATAGTCTGCTGTAAATATTGAGTACAATGTTGGTGAAAGAGCCGACCCTTGTGAGACGCCTGCGAGAATTGGGAAAAGCTGTGACATAGCATCATTTACTTTCACTTGAAAATATCTCTCTGAGAGAAAGCTTCGAATTAGTTTCTGTTTAGAATTTCGTGAGAATTGAATCCATTTCAACACATCTCTGAATATCATAATATTATTTCAATAATTAAATATTGATGCAATGATATCTATTAAGGATATAATAATAATGATAAAAATAATAATAATAATAATAATAATAATAATAATAATAATAATAATAATAATAATAAAGCCATTGATTCTAGTGTTGAGCAAGACCTCCCAAAGTAGTGAGATGGCTCAAAATTATATTCCCTTTCAGGTGAGCTAACACTGGAAAGAGTTTTATTAAAGCTTGTTGTCCACTGTCCATATCATTGACTACATATAATAATTACTTCATTATTTGATTTAATTTATGTTCTACCGACAGCAGCCGTCTCCGCTACATACCGACAAAAAGAATTTACAATTAATGCGAAAATGTACAGTAAAATGTCTATAAACAATGAACAAATAGACATAATAACAAAAACATTTAGAATATAATTACATTTGAGGATTTTCCCCAAAATATAGAAATACATGATTTTCCAAAATTTTGGAAAAAAATTGGAAGTAGGTAACACAATCTCTCATTCCATTTGAGATTCGTCCCTTCAGAATTTTGAATACATGTCTGTGGTATGCCAACTTCAGCCAAGAACTCTTACATTTCAGTGCTCAGATTTGGGTATAAATACAGTTTGTTATTGTAATATTTAGAACGATTATCTTTCTCTAGTAATTTCTTAAAATCCATTTTTTCAGATATGGTTATAATGCGTGGAGAGATGGTCAAAAACCATCGGATATTCTCAAAGATATGTGTAAAAAATACCAAATTTTCGGACCTCGTTATGAAGAGAACCGTGTAATTGTCGACTCCTGTGTTTTCAGCGTCTCCTTAGGAAATCAAGTGGAAGAAGAACGTAAGCTATAATTTAGCACACCTAATTGTATTTTGTTGTGTACTTATGCTTTGTGAAAAGGATTTAATTATTCAAAAGCTCTCAAGACTTTTAACATTAATTAACCGTAATGTATTGTCACTGATATTTTCATAGAAAAATCTAAGGGAAATGAGTACAGATTTTTTTACTTTTACGCCTACTACTACTACATACGTAGTAAAGAAAAAAGTCTTATTTCAAATGGTTTTCGGAAAATGATTACTTCGTAAACTGATTTAGAACAAGTAAATAAACCATGTTCCTTCACGTAGAAAATTACTTCCTCTATCACTATTTAGTCAGAATCCACGTTTTGTGGGTCCTTGATTCCCAACAATCGGTTTACGGCGAACAGCCGTTTGTTGTCAACACTAGCACCTGAAACATTCAGATTTTCTCCAAAATTAATATTTCTCAATCGATTTGGCCGAACTCAAGACCCAGCGAATTTGAAACGATTTTTATGATTTTGGGGGTACTTTATATGTAACCTCAATATTTTCCAAATTTTCTGAAAAATAGTTTTACATGTTTGGATTGCATTTTTTCCTCAGTTAGAGCCAAGGACTCTTAGAAAAGGTGCACGCGTAATTTTTGTTGAACTATCTAATCTTTCATTTCTCTGTATGTATTTACCACTTTCAAGAAATGATTTATTCTTGAGCGACTTATGATATTACTTTACATAGCATTAATTCTTTTTGCTTCAGAGAAATCGATATTCTGAAAATCTAATAGTATCTGTATAGACGTTCAAACTGAGATCATGATGGCAAATTAACTTAATGGTATAGCATAAGGTGACATTACATAAAAATTGATAGCCAAATTATTCTGCGTTAAATTTGTTTTAAAGCAATCTTATAATATTTTAATTACTTATTCGGACCATCTTCATAGTAAAATTTGCTACTTCATAATGAAATGCTTTTATGCTGATTCAAAAAAAAATGTAATGATTCCATCTGCATAATCACTCAACTTGTGTTCCAGATTTACACGAAATTCTGTCTCTGAAAGTGCTGCATCACTGGCAATATATACCTGTCGTAGGGCGACATCTTGTCCCAGAGCATGTAGAAACGAGGTCGCTTTTCAATCCAGATGAGCCAGGAATAGAACGAGTGAGAAGTAGTTTTAATTATATTGTTAATAATTATTACTATATCGTATTCGCTGTATTACATTACATTATATTACCTTTATATTAACATTACATTTTAATACCTTACGATAATTTCGCCATTCTATACTATAAAGCAGGGATGTCACGTTTTCCCACTGGCGGCAGTAACACAGCTTGAGCCAACCTGGCATGCCACGAGCTTATCAACGCAACTATAGTAGTACCGTGAAAGGAAATGATTGGAGTTCTCAGTATTCCTATAGCGAAATTGCAACGTGCAGTACAGTATTCATCGAAAAACATTAAATGGGTTAATTCCGAAAAAAAGTATACAAAGTAAAACTAAAAACGTTAATAAACACAACAACATTCAAGAACTCACGCTCACCACTCAAGAACGCCAAATAAAATATCCTCGTATAACATGTCAATAAATTAAAGATTTGACCAAAAAGAGTCTTGCCAATAGTGTAATAGTATAGTAATGCACAGATACATAGTTTAACAGACACCTAGAATATCAAAAATTGCTATTCCATAACGCAACATGTGAATAGCAAATATCACAGGCACACAAACAAAAGTTGTCGGACCCAAAGACTTGGCACTTCTCTACGTATTTCGACACGTTGGATCCGAATCTGAAGCCAGAATTGCGTCATCACACTCTATTTTTTTTAGATTTTTAGATAGAGACAATGAAGCTGAAATTCTTGCAAATAAACCTGGGGAAAGGCAGGCAGGCACAAGACCTACTTCTGCAAATGGTACAATAGATATAGCCATAATACCAGAACAATAGAGGAAGCCAGTCTCAGAAATATGGTACGAGGACCTATTCGGTAAATAAGCTCTCGTCGTCGCCAAACCCGATCTGAAAATTCGAAGGTTCGAAGAAAAGAACAAGGCCTTCGTATGGATCGAAGCAGGCTGTGTTCGAATCTATAGATGCTACTTCTCACCGAATGATCCCCTTGATACATTCGAATTAGAACTGGATACCCTATAAGATAACATGCGCATTGCTACAGAAGAAGTCGTAATAGCTGGGGACTTTAACGCTAAATTCTCGGAGTGGAGGCATTAAGAAGAGAGTCTCTTGTCATGGACATGGTAGCGAGGGAAAAACCTCGTTGTGCTGAACAACGGAGTAGCAACTTAACGAGAGATACAACTGGAGATCAGTCATAGACTTGACCCTGACCTCAAGGACAACAACGGGACAAATACACAACTGGTTCTGGAAGACGTCACTCTGAGTGATTATAAATATATAGAGTTCGGCATACAAAATAAAACGCAGGGAATTGAAGTACGGGAAAAGAAGCTGAAACCCTCATGGAACGTAAACAAATTAGTCCAGAAAGCTCTAGAAGAGTTTCTGAAGGAACAAGTGACCCTGAACAAATTGATTGGACAGAAGGCCCAGGAAACAAACTATTGGGGAATGTGGGAACAACGACAAATACAGTTAAGGAGGCCTGAAACCGATCAATGCCAAAGAGGTCGAAAACAAACCCCACTCGTAAACCTATGTACTTGTGGACGGACGAAATCTCAGAACTGAGAGAAAAATGTCAAAAAACGTCAATACACGCGCTCTAATTGATCGCAGACCCTAATAGAAGCTTTCGACAATGCAGAAAGGACCTAAAACTAATCAACAATAGTAAAAACCACTGGTGCACGGAGCTATTAAAGGAAATAGACAACGGTCCATGCGGCAAACCGTACCAACAACAAAACTAAATTGCAGGCAGAAAATTCCTGGATTGAATGACCCTACATGGGTAATCCAAATTATAAAGAACTTGCTTCCATCGCATCAGAAAATTTCGATACAACAATGCCAGTCTTGTAAAATTACAGAAGACTAAGTGTTTACCGCAGAAGAACTGCAGAAAGTATGCAGTACCCTTAAGAACAAAAAGGCTCCAGAACTGGACGGGATACACAACGAAATTCTGATGAAAGTGACAAAGGTCCACCCCCAACTTCTCCTGAATGCATATAATAGATGCTTGAGGGAAAACGTTTTTCCGAGGGTATGGAAAAAGCAGAAATTAGCTCTCTTCTTAAAAGACAGCAAACCACAACACGAGCATACCATATTACAGACCAATCTGCCTACGAGACACGATGGCAATGATATTCGAGAGCCTGATACTGCAAATATTACAGACATGGCTTGAGGAAACACACGGTCTGTCGGAAAGGCAATATGGCTTTCGAAAAGATAGATCGACAGTCGACTCTATCAAAACAGTCGTAGAAAAGGCCAGAGAAGCCAAAGAGGGAGCCAAAAAAGAATTATATGCCTTCATAACGCTAGATATCATGAACGCCTTTAATTCGGCCAAATGGGAGCAAATCATCAAGACTCCGATAGAGAAAAACACCCCAGAGTACCTCATCAGTATGACAAGGAGCTACCTAAGCGACGGAAAGACAATTTACGAAGGCGAAGGAGATTCTATTAAAATTTAAATGATATGTGGTGTTCCACAAGGTTCGAAACTTGGTCCTGTCTTATGGAATATTATGTACGACAGTCTACTGGGCATAAAACTCCCGCAAAATGTCTCAATTGTGGGCTTCGCAGACGATGCAATGATAATAGCAACGGCAGAAACATCAACCATACTAGAGATCATCATCAATTGCACCCAGAAAAGTGATGAGATGGCTGACTTCCAAAGGGCTGGAAGTGGCAGCCCATAAAACGAAAACATTACTCATCACAGCCAGACGATCCTACCCCAACCCAACATTCTTAATAGGCAAGGAAGAAATACAATGTCGGAAGAGCCTTCACTGACTAGGAATGGAAATTGACAGGAAGCTAATTTTGGACCACACGTTACCGAGATGACGGAAAAAGCACTAGGTATAGCAGCATCACTTTCAAGATTGATGCCGAATACCAGGGGTCCCAGCGACAAGAATAGGCTACTTTTTATGAGTGTGATGCACTTGAAAATGCTCTATGCAGCTCCGATCTAGGCAGAATACCTTCTAAACAATAATTTGGGAAGGAAAGTGCACACTGTCCAGAGGAAAAGAGCCCTATATCGGCTTATAGAACTACACACGGAAGTGCTCTTCGTCTTCTGGCGAATGTCCCTCCTATTGACCTGCTTGCTCTAGAAAGGAAAGACGTTTATGACTACTCCCTTGAGCAAGAAGGCAACGGACGCCGAACGCGCCAATATAGGGATAGCGCAATTAAAAAAGCTAAAGAAAACGTGATGCTCCGCTGGCAGAAACGCTGGGAGAGATAGGAGACCGGCAGATGGACTCATAGGCTCATCCCGAATATATCCAAATGGATAAGCCGCAAACACGGGTCCGTGACATACCATTTAACTCAGGCATTCACAGGGTATGGATGTTTTAAGGCATATCTTAAAAGATTCAGAAAGACAGAAGATGCGGTATGCTTCTACTGCAGCCATGATGTGGACGACGCCAAACATACGCTGTTCCATTGCCCGAGATGGGACAAGCTGAGGCATCGCATGATATAGTAGGTCGGGTGTAATATCTCACCAGAAAACATGGTTACACTAATGATCTGTAACAAGGAGAAGTAGACAGTAATAGAGAAATGTATCACCGCCATTCTCAAGAAGAAGGAAGAAGACGAACGAAACCAGTCATAGTTGAACCTGAATAGCACCTCGAAGTAATACAGCTGTCTCCATCCTGAAGTAATGCATAATTGCAGTTCTAGGGTGGATAACGCCAGGAACAAAAAGAGTTTGTGGTTTTAGTGGTTAAAAATCTCACACTGTTGAGGAGTGCGAGCTCCTCTTCGTCATGTTGAAGATTTTCACAGTTCCCCTAGTAAAAAAGGTAGGTAGGTAGATAGATAGATAGATTGATACATAGATAGATAGGTAGATAGATAGATAGATAGATAGATAGATAGGTCGTACTGACGGACGGACTGAAGAAGGACGGACTGACGACAGACGGACTGACGGTCGGATGGACGGATGCATGGATGGATGGATGTAAGCTTTATTCTACAATTGGGCCGATGTTGCCAGTTCCTGTGGCAGTTCCTGAATATCTAACGAAAATATTAACCCACTCATATGGCCTGAAGCTGCATTGCTTTCTTTCAATTTCTGCGAGCAATAGAAATTACTTTATAGATGAGTACTGTGTATTTACGCACAATAAATGCGAGAGCTTATTTTCGGCTCGTCATATTTGATTCATTACCCCTTATTTCCTATAATTTAGGTCCGTATACTGTTTTTGGATACGTGCACAATATACGTGCAAAAATCAAAATTACCCACGATTTTTTAGATCAATCTCTTTAAACGTCTAATGAAAAAGTTATATGATTGAATTTTTGTATTGAGAAGTACTTTCTATTGCTCTTCTTCTCTCGCTAAAAATCTTCCTTTACTTATAAATAATTTGAGAATTTTGAAAGCAAATAGTTTTGAATTGCGAGCATCTAATCGGTGGCCTTGCCTTCAAAGTAGTTGTAGAACCTAATTCTACAGGAAGAAAAGTATTAGTGCACTGTATATGTGTATATATATATATATATATATATATATATATATATATATATATATATATATATATATAATTGAGTGATTCTTCTTTCAGGGAAAAGTACAATTATGGGTGGATTTGCTGCAGCCTAGCGACAATCTTCCACCTCCTGTAGACATTACGCCACGCAAACCGCGTACATACGAACTGCGGTGTATCGTTTGGAATGTTGAGGACATCATTCTCACGGAGTACGATATCTTTACTGGAGATACTGTCTCTGACATTTACATAAAAGGGTTTGTACCATATATATCTTTATTACACTCCATACAAATATTATTATTATTATTATTATTATTATTATTATTATTATAGGGTGATGATGAGAGAGTGAAAGGATTATGATGATGGTACGAGCGGGTAGAAGGGGTAGTGAGAGGTATTCGTGGGATTTTGGAACCATCCCAGCATTTGCCTTGTGACCGAGGGAAACCACGGTGAGGATGGTCGGCCCGGGGATCGAACTCAAACCTTCCGATTACGAATCCAGCGCGCTACGCACTAAGCCACTACGCTGCCCACGTACGGTTTTATTATTAGGAATAGTTTGTTGCATTCATTGAATTCTGTATTGTCACGTTTTGCAATTTACAAGAATATACAATTAAACCTGCTCAAGTGAACACCTATATGCCAAATGATTTAGATTTATTTAGTTAAAAAAAGTAAATACAGTATGTGACGTAGGGAGAAAAGATCATCTGCGCACGTTTTATTGTGTTCCAGAATCCCTTCAATCATTGTAACTATAAATAGTTGCAAGATAAATAAAAGTTTAAAAAAATAATAAGCGGGAGATTAGTAATATTTGGAAACTAGACATTTTCGTTCCCGAGTTATAGAAAACATTTGTACGTATGTAAACAAACTGAAGATTTGATTTTTCTGCATTGCTGACAAAATTGTAACTCGCCCTTAGCTCTTCTCCCAACACTCTAAGAAAAAAGAGTTTTCAACAAAATTTGCGCATAGTGAAGCTACATTTACGTCCAGAAGCAAAACAAGGGGCCATCTCAGCATTTGCTCAATGTGTCAGTGAAACTGGACAAAATCCTAATCAAGAGGGGGGTCATTTACCCGGAAGCTGAAGTACATTATTTATTATAAGCATATTAAGTCTTTTTAAAAAGATTATACAATACAAATGTAAACTAATTTATTATACATCACAGTTTTGTTAAAATAATCTCTTTTGTTCTTTTTCATGATCAGTATAGCCTCTAATTGTATAGAAACAGTTATACAGCAAAAAAGATTTTATTTTTAACTTAAATTTGTGTACCGACTTTAATTGTTTAATATCATCTGGCAATGCGTTGTAAAGCATCGTACATGTATTGTAAGTATTGTATTGATAAACGTGATTTCTACGTGTGTTATATATAAATACACGTATATTACCTATATATAATACACGTATACGATTCACGTATATTATACATATGTATAATACACTACATTACGTATATATATATATATATATATATATATATATATATATATATATATATATAATACACGTATATATAATATACGTGTGTTATATATAAATATCAGTATTGCATGATAATATGTTCCCACCGTTAAGTAAGTCACTTTTGACAAATATTACAGATTCCTAATGAAATAGGTAATATTCCAAGCTTAATTAAAAAAGGTTTGCATGGATCACGTGGATGACATTTTTTAATTATTCGAATAATTTTATTTTGCAATCTAATGGTCTGAGTACTACATTATGAACTTTCCCAGAATATTTTGCCATATCTCAGGCGGGAATGCACATTTGGAAAATATACTCAACGAGGTGCATGAAGGATGACAGAATTTGAGAGAATTCTGATTGCGTAACATAATGAACTTAATTTAGTGTTTAATTTGTGTTACGAATATGTATTCTGTTCGTATATGAACATTCTATTTGTGGTTTGGCTGAGTTGAGAGATCTAGAAATATTTCTTACCTTAACATCAGTTTATTGCATTTTGTTCATTTTCGATGGAGCATGCGATTGCTGATTTGAAATGCAAAAATTCATTGAAACTGATTTTCTTTCGTTAACTATTAATTTTTAATTTCAAAACCAATTTTAAACTTCTGAAATCGTACTATTTATTGTTTCTTTTTTCTAAAGAACATTCGTATCATCGGCAAACAGAACCGTTCTTCTAGTTTTAAGAGACGAAGGCATATCGTTTACACATAACAGAAAGATGATAGAACCTAACGCCCTAGCCTTTACGGGGCACCTCATATTCAATTGGTAAAGAATTGGAAAGATAAATGAATAATGTCCTTTCTTTCCAGTACGGTATTTCTACTTTTTTAGACCGATGTTTAAGGTACGAGTTTATCCAGTGTAGGGAAATACCACGAATTCCATGTGAAGGTAATTTTGATAGGAAGATGTTATGGTCAATAACGTCAAAAGCTTTCGAAAGATTAAAAAATATTCTAATGGGTGATTCATTGTGGTGCATTAATGAAGCATCATCTTTAAGAAAAGAAAAAATGGCAGTTTTCGTATATTTTGATTTTTTGTATTTTTCGATTGATTTTGATTTTCTATAAAACAAGTGTAAATCTTTTAATCTGTCACTTTTCCTAGCAGCTTGCGATCTGACAGATTTCGTAGTAGCATCGGTGGATACCAATGGCCGAAAAGGTATTTAATAGCGGTATTTTTTCATAAATCTATCAAATATCTTTATTCTTTTGTACCGGTAAAATACCTTTACAGGACATCTATATCTGTATGGACGTCCATAAAGGTTATATCGGTTTTTTCAATGAAAAATAATGTCGCCCACAGAGAGAAAATTCCACACCATCATCCACAGAGAGAAAATATTCGTTAATTATTTAACGAAATGCTTGTTACTAAATAAAAAAGCATGCATGCCCACTCGCGCACATATGCACGCACACGCCCGCGCGCGCCCACTCACGCGCGTCTACTCACGCGACCTCTTTCTCCCTCCCTCTCTCTCTCACTCTCTCTCTCCCCCTCTCTCTCCCTCCCTCTCTGACCCTCCCTCCCCTTCCCATCCCCTCTCTCACCTCCGCTCTCTCCGTCAAACACACGCACAGACACGGCAGAAAATTTGCTGGGGCCAACTGTGAAACATCCGTAGCCAAACCATAGCCGCCCGTGGGTCCAGACGCTGACCTTGGGAAGCTAAGCTGCCGAAGCAACGGCGCTGGCCTCGCCACTCTTACAATGTGGCAACTGATAAGGGGGTTCTCAGAACGGAAGTTCATTTCTTTGTACCGAAAGGGGATTCTTTTTAGAAGTAGTTGTCATTATTCGATTCTGGTTACTTCTGATTTGAAAGGATTCATAGTCACTTAAAAGTTTTAAAACGTGTTTGACATTTGTTATTAATACGTGTATAAATATTTTATATGATTGAGAAATTTAATCAAGTTAGAAAAATTGAAGAAACTCGCTCTCTTTTTAACGCCTCCCTATAACAATATCCAAACAAAAATACTTGAAGCCTTTCCGCCCAACAATACTGAATCATTCAGAAAGTAATAGAACACCATACAAAATTTACACACCCAAATTTGTAAGTCCTATGTAGTATTAGAAATATATAGTTTGAGAGGCGTTTAGCATCACGACTTCCCAAGCCGCTGCCTCTGATGCGATTCTGACCGGGAGGTAGTAGGGTTTAAATAAAAAAAAGGTTATTTTAACAAAACAGTGATATATATGATATATATATTATATATATATATTATAAATTAATAATATATATATATAATATATATATATAAGTGAATTAGTTTGTATTGACATTTGTATCTGTACATTTTGTATTGTCTATTTTTGAATACTTAATATGGTGTAAACAAATAATATACTTCAGCTTCCCGGTCAATGACCCCAATCTCGATAAGGTTTTGTCATTTCCCTGGATCCATTTGAGCAAATGCTGAGATGGCCCTTGTTTTGCTTCTGGACGTAAATGTAGCGTCACAATGTGCATGTTTTGTTGAACTCTCCTTTTGCTTGTAATGGTAAGAGTGAAAGTAGCGAGTTGTTATTTTGTTAGCAATGCAGAAAAATCATACTTGCAATTCGTGTACCGATGCAAGTTAGTTTTTTTTCTATAACTCGGAAACAAAAATGACTATATTTCAAATATTGCTTATTTTGCGATTTTTAAAATTTGATTTTGAAATTTATTTTTATTTACTCATCTTTCAACTATATTTGAAATGACGGGAAGACATTCTGGAACTCAAGAAAACGTGCGCAGATAATCTTTTCCCCCTACGTCACATACAGTTTTTGCTGTTGTTTTTTTTTTACTGAATAAATCTAAAAATCTAAATCCGAATTGTGGTGTAATTTCCGACACAAGCTAGATAGACAGACACAAGCTAGGCCGAATTCAATCGCTGTCAGAAGAATTCTAGCGTTTGCTCTGGTCGGTAGTTTTCCGTGATTTCTCTCACCAATTCCAGGCGAATGCCGGAGCAGCATTCTATCAAAAGGGTCACGGGTCGCACGCGATCTTCTCCGGAGACCAATCGATAACTTTACGTTTGCTCCGGCTGGGGCAGTTTCTGGGAAAGGGATATCCCCTGCACGCCGACGTGTAAGAAAGCGACAGATCTCATGATGTAGCGTCCTGCGATAACACATGCACTACCAACGTGGCTGGCAGTTGTGGCAACTGTGGGAAACATCAATAAACTAATCAATCAATAAATCCGGAGAGGTCGGTGTTGCTCCTCCGCTAATACTCGCACGTGAAATGCAGCGTGGAATTATATGTCGGCTTCAGGGGCGTTCCCCCTCCAAATATGTCCCAGTCAGTCGGAACAAACCATAGGCTCCGACTGGTATCCCGAGAACTCAGTTAGTGGAGTGCGTTAGTGGAGTGTGTGTATTTAAAGCGAAAGGATAAGAAGAAATTATAAAGCATGATCAGTGGCCCATTAAAGTTCTACTCCGGCATTCACCTGGTACTGATCGGAGAAACCATGGAAAATCTACCGTTCAGAAAATCCGGCCACTAGAATTATTTTCCAGACAACGGCAAAATTCGAGCTAGATTCGAGTGTGCCTAGGGTTGAAAATCTGCCATCGTCGAAGCTAGAAACGTAGGACCTCACGGTCAGAAACTGTACAGTGTCAATAGTTGTTCCTCTGAACCATCTCAGCGGTAAATTTCCAATGATGCCCCCCCAAAATACCGGTATTTTCTCATACAAATACCGTAATAACATCTTTAAATAGAGGCATTATACCCGTATAGATGTCGGATAAAAAATAAAATACCTCTAAAAATACCTGTATTTGAGGTCGTATTCAGGTGTGTTGATAGGTATTTCGAATAAAGTTATAATAGATGTAAAGATAGTTCTATACCGGTGTAAAAACCTATACCGCTATAATTCGTTATTCGGTCCCTAGGGGTTACAAAAGCCACGCGGGCCATGGCATCCCCTGAAAGTCAACATTTCTGTATTTTTACATAATTTGTTTAAAATTATTATCATATGTAAATATCATGTCATTCAAAGTAGAATTATCATTATAAATATACTCGTCCCTTTTTATATATAGCCAATAATTAAAAAATTAAAAAAATATGTATGGAAAAGGGTTCTAACTGAAAGTAAAATATGATATTAATACCCCTCAACGAAATACTTTCTGGATCCGTCTGTGGGGAGTAAAGTGTTCAGCGGACACTTCTAGCCATTTTGAACTGTAATAGAACAAGAAGCGGAAGACCTGTGAAAATACTGTTGATTCAGTAACTTCTTGCGAAGGGAGCTTTGTCTGATTATTTAGAACAGTGACCTATTCTTTGTGTCGCAGGAGTATTATTGACGTAACAGAGATAATTTGAATAAATGCCTCTCATTGAAAAAAGGCGTTCGCTTCGCCCATTCCGCAGCTTTTTTGTAACGTTGGCTGACCTGTACTGCCCCCTATGTAACTTTGTTAACGGCGCGGTAAGAAAGGGGAGTAACAACGAAAGTAACAAAGAGAGTTTTCGCAAAAACAATGCTACCGGAATGCTACAATAATTACGCATACGCATACGAGAGTAACCACAAAGCGCGCTTGAGGTTATCGCAAAATTAATTTGGGCAATAATGGGTTTAGAGAAAACGTAATTAACTGAGATAATTAATTGACTGATTGTTAGTGATATCGGGCGCGGCAACTAATCGGGTCAGTTCGGTACGTGTAGCGCATGTTTTTTGCTTGGGAGGTGGCGGTCGTCTTCCCCCGCTGTATGGTGAGATCCGGCGCCGACTTTCCGTCGGCTAGTGAGGTTTCCCCCAAACAGGTATTTCCCACCAGCTGGGCACCGCTCCAGCCGCGACAAGCTCTAAGCTCCAGACCAGTCTCCTGGCAAGTATAGTAATGTAGTGCATGTTAGTGCGTGTGTAAGGGGTGAGAATAGGACAAGGAAGAGGTAGGAAAGTGCGCGCGTGGTCCGTGGCCCGTTTGTTAGGGCACTGCTCCGGCAATCATCTGGTATTGATCGGAGAAACAACGTAAAACTACCTATCAGAGCAGCCGGCCGCTAGAATTCTCCTCCAGACAGCGACTGAATTCCACCTAGCTGAGAAGCTAGTGTCGAAAATACAGCCAGGACTCGAACCTAGGGCTTCCCGGTCAGAGGGACTGCAGTTAGTTGCTGCCCTGCTTAGTTGATGCCCTGAGCCATCTCTCCACGTTAAGTAAGAGAATATATTTTTAAAAATTAATTGAACTTTTTAGTACAAACAGCACAACATTCCAAGTTTCATTTTGCAATTTATTTAGAAATTTAAATTAAATTTAAACAATTGTAAATTGTTTTAATAATTTTAGTTATGATTGAAAAATATTACTTCTTATCTGTAGTTTTTGAATCTTTGTGTATCTAATAAAGGTGGAACGGTGTCCTTACTTGCTGAAAAAAGAGAATTCGACTGCTTGCTTTTGTAACGCGTGCATTCATTTAGGGTTCTTTTCCCCGAGCCCTTCAAATATCGTACCCAGTTTTAAGCGCCGCACGACAATATTCGCAGTAAGGGAATGGTTGCCGTGGAAACGGGATGCTTCACCTCCCGTAACTGTGATTACGAAGTGTGTTTCCAGAATACGTTGAATCATTTTCTTTTCTCGACTTCACTCGTCGTTTTCTTTTCTAAATTCCCTGCGAAAGGCTACGTGACATTGTTAGTATCAGGAGTCTCGGTAAACCGAGAGAGTGATGTGTCAAGGTTTGTCCGAGTTTCTCTGCGCGCCAGATCACATGAATGAAATACCTCGTTGATGTTCCCAGCAATACATTCCGAGAGTCGAGCATGGTATTACATAAATTATGAGAATTATGTGAAGGAATCAGGTAATCAAATGAAATCGGGAACGCATTGACAAAATTGAAACTGGTGAGCTTTTAACATTTACAATTTTTCTACTAAACAATGTCGCTAATTTAGTGGAGTGATATAAAACATTTTTGTTAGAACTTTGAAGTACATTTTTATTGGAGTATCTGATATTAAACATGATTTATTAATGTTTATGTGCATGAACAATATGGAAGCACGTTTATGCTCTTCTCTTACTTTCTGCATTATATCTTTTCTTTTTACAGATGGCTCACCAGCCCAGAAGAAAGTCAGAAAACGGATGTCCACTACCGCTCTTTAAACGGCGAGGGAATGTTTAATTGGCGATTCGTTTTCAAATTTGAATTTGTCTCTGCGGAAAGAAAAATTGTGATTACGAAAAAACGCTCCTTCTCCAGGGAGATAGTACAGGAATTAATTCCTTGCCAACTTTCCTTACAGGCTTGGGATAATGATCGTTTTTCTGCTGATGATTACTTAGGTAAGAAATATTACATCGACGTGCTGTTGCTATTTGGATCATATTGTAACCAAATATGACAGCACGAGATTCTATTAGCACAGCATCAGGTAAGACGATCATTAACCACTTCATATGTGTGTCTAAAGTAATTGCATATTAATACTGTATCCTTACTTATTACCTATTACTTACCTTACCTATTACTTACACATACTTGTGTCCTGAAGAATTAAGTTAACGTTTTCGCTAACCCATAGCGTCATTGAAATAATTTTTGATTGGTGGACTTTTGAGTGGTGTACGAAATTTGGCAGCATAGCAAAGGCAGACTTTTGGCCGCAGACTTTTCGCCTATCCTTCTAACGTGATTCCCCCGTTTTGAAGTGCGTATGGGGGTGGTTAGGCAGGGTGAAATTTGTGAACTGTAGTAACATTTCCAGCAAGATAGTAGTTGACGATTCCAAGTGATATCAATTCTCCGTAAACGAATTTTGGCAAGATCAACAAAATGCAGGATAGTATAAGAATTACATTTGGAATGGTTAATTACATTTACTCTCCATTGTTGTCCACCCATTTCAAACTCCACGAGCCACTGATTAGAACTAGTCGTTAGGAATCAGTTGGATAATACAATATATAGATAAGCAAGTAATGTTGTGGCCAATTTATATTTGAGGGAAGACTTAAAATATATGTAATCACACATACGCGATAAATTTGGTCATATCGTTGGACGTTGATCAGGATGAAATCGAACGATGCAGTTCACATTCTACAACGTTTCAAATGTATAAAGCTTGTCAAGATGTCTCTCAAAATTAAGACAAACCCACGGCTTCTCATAAATCTGGAAATATTGCTTTGGTATTGTAGAATTGGTGTTTCTGTGGCATTGTAGAATTGGAATATTCTAAAAAATATTCCTGTGCCATTGCAGAATCGATCAAATCAGAGTAATGATGGCATCTATGATGACTTTAAAGGGTTGTGACAGTTCGTAAAGCTTTCGACACTTGCAATTCCGTTAAACAAATAAATTGTATATTTCTTTGCCAACAGAAATTTGTTATTGTATTTTAACTACCTTTAACCGATACAAACAAATTAACACTGACAAAGAATTAATTTGAGATATTCACTTGAATTCTGTTCTCAGCATAGAATTGAAGGTTACTGAACAGCAATAATTAAAGAACACATTTATGCTCACTTTAATTAAACATGATAATTATATTAATATAATCATGATAATTGAATTAGATAGTTCTGATATATTTACACTTCAATACTAATAAATTAAATAAGAATCTGACATACTTTTAGATTTATAACAATGAGATTAGTTACACAGTCCAATGATACCAGTGTCGTTGTAGTCAGTACGTGCGCACCCAAATATAGGTACGCATGAGGAACAAAAACCATGCCAAGCAATGAGCATTGCCCAGTCAATATCAATTGCGTAGTACCTGACATTGGCGTGGTCATCACCGCTCACCTTCTACCTGACGACTAGATTGTTAATAGTACATGGTACCTGTACCAACAACACGTAAAAATAAACTGCTATTGACTTGAAACGAATGTAAGTTCCGTGCAAACGTCCCGTGTACTCGGTCTCGAAATTGATCATTATTTATTAGCAAGTGCTAAGTTGTTGAATGCCCTATGGGTTGAACCAACGCATTACGACTAAAAGTTCACTGATTTAATCACGGTAGAAATAGACATTTAGCACAAATCTCAGTTTCATAATAATTGAAAGGCGCTATAGGGCAGATGCGCACAGAATCCAGGGTGTATGTATGTGGTCCGCCTGTCTCTTATGAGACTCTTCGTCCATATTTTGTTTGTCGGGTAGTCTTCTTGTGTGTTGCGACCCCTCTCCGCCGTACAGGGACGGGGATCGGAAGTCTAGGTAGTGAAGTAATGTGATGTTTGTTAGGGGGTTTGAGGGAGAGGGAAAGGGAGAGGAATGGATTTGGGAGGGGAATGGGATGGGATATAGGAGGGATAAGGAATATTGTTTAATGTTCGTCTTGGATTTCTAGTCAGTCGGGCGTTTAAATTGTCTTTGTCGTATCGTGTTTTCACACTCTGGCCTAGGTCATGGGAGGACGGAGTTGCAGGATGTCGAGGTTTTTCCAAGTATGCCGGGGGGATTTCTTAGAATATGGTGGTGGGGTTCGATAAGGTTTCTAAACTGAGGATTGGCGATGCACTTTTGTAGGGTTTGTATGGAGGAGTTGTAAATGTGGGTGAGAATATGGGACATTTTGTTCTGTGGTCATAGGTCATTGAAGCGGGTTAACGGAGGGGGTGGAAGATCAGTCGGATTACTCGGCTTTCAGTGACGGTTAGTTTCCTGTAGTTGATAATGGATGTATTGAACCAGGTGGGATTGGCATAAGAAAAGGTAGGGCGAATATAGGTATTGTACATTTGGATTTTCTTTTGGATGGGAATGGATGGACGGATTAGTAAGGATAGGGTAAAGGGCGTTTGTGATCCGGTTGTTTTTTATTGTGGTGTTGAGGACGTGTTGGGACCAAAGGAGTCTGCGCGAAAGGGCAATGCCAAGATATTTGACATGTGGTTGCCAGGAGATAGGCGTTTGATTTATTGTCAGAGGGGATGGGTTTGATGGATAGGTTTTATTAGAAAAGAGGAAGGCTTGGGATTTAGAAGGGATGATGTTGATGGAATTTTGGGAGGCCCAGACGAAGGAGTCGAGGGATTTTTGAAGGTTTCGTAAGAAGCGGGTGAGGTTGCGGCAGGAAGCAAGGAATGCAAGATCATCAGCGTAGAGGAATCACTCTACTCTGGGGGGACAAGGGTGCAGTTGCAACAGGTGGGAGTAAAGTGAGTGGATTGGTCTAGGGATAAAGAAGGGAATTCTTCGGAGGAGTGGGATGTGGCACAAAGGGCGCACGTCACTGGTCGTCGACAGTATGTCCTTGTGTGGTACAGATTTTGACAACATTTGTATTGGGGGATTCGGTCAGAGTTACTGTAATCCTCGATTCTAGTCCCGTAGTAATATATGTACATCAGATTGTTTGGTCAGTCATGTCCATTTTTGGAGTCTCAATTACATACAGTCCAAGTGGGGTAAGGTGTCCGTTAACGTCGCGACGGTTCATTTCAGTAACGTGGAAACAGGGAATATTCAAGTCCAGGAAGTTTGTTCTAATTCTCTCAAGTTCGTAGTTAGGGGGAGTTCTTTTAGAACAATTTTTTCCTGATCTCTTCCGTCGCTCTATTGTATGAGTATGAAATGTTCACAAAGTATGTCTTTGAGGCCTGTCGTAGAGATCAGTTCTAGTCAGTTCCGAATATTGTTGTAGGCAGTCACAGTAAGGGATTGCATTAGAAGTTGTGTCCTGTTGCATTTGGCAGTTATTGCGTTGTGGCTGTTTCAATAAGTCTTGGGTCTGGTCTTAGGGGTTGAGGAGGGAATTGAGGTCTATGCCAATTTTTCTTTTCGTCCGTGGGGTTTTTAGTTGAGAGGGTTCTTGTTCAGTTGCGGGTGGGTTTGGGTTTACTGAGTTCTTGTTATTATCGTGTGAGGTGCCGGAGTTACTAGCTTGGGAGTCAGATTGTTGCAGTGGGGTGTAGCGGTTGCTCAGTGGTAAGGATTGGGTTTGGATTGAGGGATCAGTCCTGGATGGTTTGCGGGAAACCATCTTCGGTCATTATTCTTTTTGAGTTCCTGTCAGAGGAGGGGTTTGAGGTTGTCGTGCGGTTGAGGTACCAGTTGTAGCGGGAGATCGCGCTGAAGCGGTTGTCTGCTGGGTTACCGTCTTTGGTGATGCGTCTTCATCGATAGTCAGTTTGGTGCTGTCGTCGCTGGTTTTCACGTCCATAGATTTGTCCAATGCTGTAGCCAAGTCGTTGCCCTCAGAGTTGAGTCGGGCAGCGGCCGAAACCACGCCTTTTCTCGGAAGCACCGGTTGCTCTCCACAAGCGCTCGTCGGCACAACTCGAGAGACTACGGACAGGTCAACCATTATGTGTGGTGAGTTGCAGCTATGTGCTGTGCTGTCTCCAACACCACATGGTCAGCTGGTTCGTAGTCCGATGTGAATTTCTTGATGGCTGAGCCGCTTTGTAGCTAGAACAGAATACACGAGGGTGACGATCGCAGCCAGTGGGGTGGTCCTCTCGCTCAGTGCGCACGCTGTGACATTTTCTTAGCGACCGAGGCCAGCTGGCTAGGCTCGGAGAGGAAGAATGGAGTTGGCGCCGTGGCGCAACGCCAACCAATTGGAGATAACATTGCACAAGATTGCAATATTGTGTATTTTGAGAGCTAGGCTGAATTGATGATTAAAAGCCTCGTGAACATAGTAATTAATTGAATCAAATTTTTGGTAAGGTGTTCTTAGGCCTTAGATTGCGGCAAAAAGTTTCGTCATGTTTCCTAAGTAATGCCGCTGCACTCTGGCGAGGTACGGCGAGAGGCGGTTGCCAGAAACTGCGCGGGCCGGATCCAGTAACACCCTGCATCGTAGGTTGAGCGGTTAAGGGGTTTTTACAACGTAATATCAAGATCACATCGAACGACGTATATGGATTCTACAACAAATGGTTAAAAAACTCATTATTACAAGATTAATTGCTGCACTTGTGTCATGTGTAACGGCGACACGGCTGTACTTGTGTCGTATGTAACGGCGACATTTCTGCACATGTGCCATGCGTAACAAATCGCTTGAGATGAAAAATATACACATTTTTAATATTGTGAGCTTAAATAGTTGAAAGCTTGCTCCAACAACTATATACTTCACTGAACTCTAGCAAACATACACTGATAATGAAGTTACATTTATGCCCAGAAGCAAAACAGGAGGCCAACTTAGAATTCGCTCAAAGGAAGCTGGGCAAAAAACCCGGGTCATTGGCTCAGAAACTGAGATACATTACTTGTTAGAGGCCTATTTAGTGTTTTAGAACCATTCAGTCCAAATAGTAACTAAAACATTAAGTACTATTGTTAATTCCTTAATGCTCGGTATAGTTTCTAATAGTATAGAAATGACAATATAACGGAAACTTGCAATGTGCTCTCGCAATGTGTTGTAAAATGTTAGTGAATTTTTGGTGGTGAGTCCTTGATGCAGACACATGATGAATATGTTTATTACGTCAAGTGTTAAAGCATTCAGCATTCGTTGAAAATATGTTTCCACTCACGAGTTTTTCATGTTTCACAAAAAACGTTTGATTCATAAATCAAAAAGCAAGGCAATCATATAACTCATATATATATATATATATATATATATATATATATATATATATGTGTGTGTGTGTGTGTGTGTGTGTGTGTGTGTGTGTGTATTCTATACATAGAATTCCAACCTAGATAAAGAGAGGCAGCCCCAAAGCCAAATTCAAAACGCTCGGCAGTTAAGGAAAGTCGATCATATTCATTTGAAATTTTCGAAAATTCGAAGATTTTCATTATTTCAAGGTATAGTTTTTATAAACAGATTTCATTCATTAATTCATAATCTCTATCATCAACGTTGTTATTTTGCAATGATAATTTCTTATTTTCAATTTTTGAAAAAAACAAACAGATTTCGCCGAAAATGGGATCTGCGCAATTTGTTGAGCGTTATTTGCTCTATCCGAGGAAAAAGTAAGAACTAATGGAGCCGCTTTCGAGGTCATTTTATAAATTCCAATAATTTCAAGTAGAAATTACGCGAAAGCGATTTGTTTTTTTCAAAAACGTGTACGTAACATTAGTTAAAGATCTATTTTTACAAGAGATTTCAATTGAGAAAAAATCTCCATCATCAGTATTGTACGTTTGCAATGTTAATTTTTTGCAATTTTCTAATATATAAAGTAGGGATAAACACAAGACTGCATTTGCTGTGAAGGCTCCTGAATATTGTGTTTAAGGAATGCTCACCTTAGATCTGCTCCGCCTCCCTCGAGGCGCCAAGGAATCTTCCCAGTGCTCCCTGAGGCTTTTGGACGCAAAGGCACCCACCGTTAATTTGTTCAAAGTGAAGTGCACCAGAGGGTGGTGGCCATTCCAAGACATTGTGGCTAATGCGTCCATTCTTGTTGTAAGTATTAAATAACCATTATTAGGATCTTCATAGTCTATATTTTGTCCTATTACAGATACAAGTTGGATATTATCGAGTCGGCCCATCTCGCTAATGTAGGAAAAAGACATGAATCGGCATTACCATTCTGTGACATAAACTCCATGATATCACAAGTTCAGCAAAATTAATAGTAATAGAATTGCAGTATATAATAAATTTAGCTGATTAAAAAATTACTGATTAAATAATTACTTAAATATTATACGGATGTATTACATTAATAGTGGTAAAACTCGAATTACCTCCATTTTCAGATTCCCGAATGTGGTATATATTTGTACTGAATAAAACTCCAATCTCTTTCTGTAGTCGACAGAGCGTTGCACAAAATTGGCGAATTACTTGTTTTACTTTCTTGTAGACGTAGTGTTGTAGGTACCATTCGCAAATGAATTGAAAGATACCATCTTGAGCGCTTGATGGCTCTTAAAGGTGAGAGGAGGCGAGGTTGCTCTTTTTGTGTTGGAGAACCAGAAGCCTGTATTTTGAGTGAGCGTTTATATAAAACACGTAATAGTTGCTGAATGATACTATGGAGATAAGGATGCAAAGAAAGATGGCAAAAACATTAAACGTATTTAATTAATGAATAAAAATCAAAGTCATACCGTATACATGAACAATAGTAAAATCAAGTGATTGCATGTCAATCAATTTGAAATATTTAAGTTATTGTAAGACAGGTCAAAACTTTTATGTTTATCTCCTATAGAACCTTTTTTATTGGCTTATGTAAAAACGAAATGAAATATTCTCATTTTAATTTTTAATTAAATCTTCAAATACACGACGTTTCGACAATTTTGATACATTGTCGTCTTCAAGCTATTAAACAAATTTATTAAAATATTCAAATAAATAAAATACTTACGGACAACTTACGGACCGCAAAAATAAATCTTATTGATCTTATTGATCTTCTTTTTAGTTCTAATATATGCAAACTAATTTTTTTAACTTTTTCCCGTAAAGAAATGATTCAGTGATTGATACTCAAAAAGTGATTGAGTAATTGATACATAAATTACTGAGTGATTATCATAGAAATAATTAATTCAACTGATTAATTCTAGAGTTGGTTAAGTGCAGTTAATTCCAGAATAAATTATATGATAGACCAGTCAACCATAGACAATGCAAAATGGTACGGCCGATGTCGTGAAAAGCTTTCAAAAGATCTACACATATTCTAAAAAGTGCTTCAATTTGAAGCGCTGGTGATGGAACAATTTTTAAAAAGAAAAAAATAGCCGTTCATGGATATTTTGATCCATGTTGAGAGTCTCAAAACGCTTCGTTTTTCAAGCATTACACTCTAAATTACGTAACAAAAACGTGGTTATGATTAATACTTTTGGTACATGAAATAGTACACTCATGAATTTTTTGAAATCTCTGACACGCTAATTATATTTACATTACATTTGCATATTATAATTTAATGCATTAACACGCATAAATAGTTAAAATTATCTCTAACTTTTTGAAATCACAGTAAAAAAAATACTGCTGATTGTAAACAATTTTGCAGGTTTCACAAGTTTAAAAATACGCGTAACCGTTAGAAATAACGCGAGAACGTAAAAGTGTAGTAGCACCACTAGTTTCATAATAATTTAACTTTAGTACGCTATATCTCGAATTGTGTGTGAATAGAGTTGTTTGAGTATTAAAATACCATATCCGTGAGCACCTTAGCACTTTAAAAGTGTCTCCACTCAAATTTTCCGCAAAACAATTTGTAAAGCCATTTATTTTCGCACAAAGAAATACTGTATTCGATTTATAATTCTTTCACATTCAGTAGTTGTGTCATTATATGAACACAATTCTTAGAAAATCGAATCTACATTTGATTTTTTCGGTTAAAATTTTTTTGGGATTTTACTAACTAGCAAATCATCTTTGCAACACTTCATTTGCTGCCGAAGAATACAGTAGAATTGGAATGAGTGAATAGTAATGTTATAATATTTATGGGTGACATGATAAATAACAGTTTTTTCTTAATAATGCAAATCTAGAATCCATTTTACAGAATTACGACGATTTTTTCAGAATAAATGAATAATTACAAATTACTGTTCTTTCAGGGGAAAGTAGAGCTGGAATTAGAAATACTGACTGACGAAGAAAGTGCATTGAAACCTGCTGGTAAAGGACGGTCAGATCCTGAAAAACTCCCCGAGCCCAAGTAAGTTTATATACATATATATATCGAATAAGCCGACTAGGACCACGAATGCATGCACCCTGCATTTTACCGTAGCTCAGTATCATTATCGCGGTGACTGGTGCATGTAACTTTTCATTAGGGACCAGCATTTATCTGAATCCGATTCTTATCCCCCAGGGTTCTTAGCCCTGAGAATATGGAAGTTGAAACGATGATGATAATGACGGGTGAAAGAACGACACACAGGTGCTTGCGTTGACCCCAGACGGACAGACCGTTGCCGATAAGTCAACCGATGTTTCGGGTTGTTCGGGATCACAAAATATGGATGCTGTCTATACAGTTTTGCTGCAGAGTTTAATAGTACTTTTGAGAGCAATTAACGAGATAGTCAGTTGATCACTTCGAGACGTGATCCCCAACGTCTTGAGGGCACTAACTGTGGATCTTGGCATAGACCCAGAGGTTCCAACCACCACTGGCAGGATTCTAGAGTTGGACACTTCATGAACTTGGGCTGCCAGGGGAATGACTGGTTGGTATTTCACATTTTCTTCCCCTGCATTCAGAAGGGATTTCCGGAGAATCTTCCCCTTTACGAAATGCTAGCTCTCGTCATGACACGTTAATCTTGCTGGCTTCGAGAAAAATGTGAATCATGGTGGAAAAATGTGATCGAAGATGTGATTCATGGTTTCTACCGCTGTATTGCACTTTCTGCAGTATACATCCTCTACTTAGAGTAGAGCAGTGATATTAGCAGCAATATTTGATCTTAATTGGAGTACTGTGATAAAATAAAGTGGCCAAAGTGACCAGGCTGGTTTGACCGTCTGACTTGACCGACCGCTTCTCTGAGCATCGACCTTGATGGCATCGATAAAACCAGTTCATAGAGGTAATACAGCATTATGTAGGTATGAAGTAATGCCAACTTCTGAGTGGGCTTTAAGTGCGCCTTCTGAAGTGCGCCTTCCTCGTCATTGCTTACATTAAATTCGATATTGATGATTTAGATGGGAAGCCGTTCAAAATAGAGAAGTTCTCTCCTAGGTATGTTAGGGTATGATCATTACTGATAGCGGAATTCTCTTCCCTAACCTGTACAGACAGAGCTCCTCAATGAACCATGATCGTTCGAAGATTGTAATTTGAAATGAACACTTCACGGCTGACAATGTCACTCCCAGGACCCCAATATCCAGCAATTCTGGAGCTTCTGAAGCATTTTATGCTAACAGCCCCAGATCGTCAGCTAACACGGACACACTCTTTCCAATAGCGTGTATCCTGACATGTTTTTCAATTTCTCAAGTAGGCACTCCATAATGAGATAAAAAAGAGTGGGGACAAGGGATCTCCCTGTTTTACTCCTCTACGACTTGGCACCTCGATTCCTTTCGAGGGGTGCTGAATGACGGTGGAAACGTCGGCGTAAGAGTCCATTACAAAATTGCTACAGGCATTAAGGATCCCTTTCCTGGACAGAGCCCACTGAATCGCCGCATGAGGAAGTGTCAGATGCTTTGGAACATTGGCTTTGCTAGCACAGAAGCGCTGTATATAGTACACATAGAAGTAATATAGTACATATACACATACAAGTAACAAAATTTATCCATTTTTATGTTACCAGATCTTGGCAATAAGAGTTTTACTTTCGAAAATCGCTGAATATAATACTCGTACCTTCTCTCTCAACGATAATGTACGAATAATTCACGAGCTTCCAGACGGTACATAGCGTTCTCTAAAATCTAGTTACTTTGAAACCCATTTTATATTTCCTCAAACATGTTCAGTGCAGTTTAACAGTGAATAAAGTTATCAGACACAACAGCACAGCTCAAATTTGAGAAGTGAACGAATTTTGAATATAACGAGTTCAAGAACAAGTTCAACGAAAATCGGGCCAGCGCCATTTTTATGAGTGTTCTTTGCTCTATCCAAGAAAATAATCAAACAGTTTGTACAAATTTTTGAGAACATTTTCAAAATGTTAATTTTTTATGTAAAGTACCTCAAAATCAAAATATCCATTTTAATTTTGCAGGGCTTTTATTTCAAATTTCAGCAGATTGAAATTTTAGGAAAAAAATCTGATGAATGGTTGTTTCTCGTCGGAGACATTCTCTCATTTTCGGTCATATTGGATCAACCATCTTTAAGTAAATTTGATATAAGATTTGAAATTAGCGACTTCGATAACCGCAAGGTAGAACTTGGTAATTGAATTCGATGCCATTTGAGATTTGGGCCACGTTTCCGCCATCTGGTCACACCGTGCTTCGGTCGGTGCTTGTGGACAGAAGTTCAACCCTTGAAAGCCTTTCAATTGTTTTATTATCCTTCTGTTTGGTGCACTTCGTACGTGCTTCGGCGGAGGTGCTGGAGCCGTGAGAGAGCTTTCAATACGCTGATGCACTCTGGTCTGCCGTGAGAGGCGCCCTAGGACTGGCGGTGAAAGAATGTCTGAAGGTCGGTGGTGAAAGACTACTAGGGGCCGCGTCCTGGTAGCGATCGCGAGATTGAACAACGAACTTTGTCTGCTATGGCTTAATACGTAATTTAGATGGTTGGTTGCTAAGGAGCGCGAGTATATTGACGTAAATAATCTAAAATATTTTAGCGGACTCTCGGGTTTAGATTTTACCTGTTCCCATAAATCTTTTGATTAATGTATCTTTGTCCCATTTCCTTGCCTTGTCCTTTTGTCCCATTTTGTCTATTTTGTCCTCCATGTGTTTGTCTCACTTGTTCCACTTGCCCCCCTAGGCGCGTTGTTATTTTTATCCCTACGCCCATTTTCCACCATTGTCAAATTTGCCCCCTTTCCCCCATTTTGTCCCGTTTCTTCCCTTTTCCAATTTTGTTCATTTTTCTCCGTTGTCCCATTTTGTCCCCTTGCCCTCTTTGTCCTCCTTTCCCCGTTCTCACTAGCCTCTCTTTGTCCTTTTAGTCCTTCCGGGCACTGCAATTGTTTTTTACTTTCTCGCCCGACGAATTCTTCGTAAGAAGAGAAAGTTATGTAATCGTGCGGCGAAAAACTAATTTTCGTAAGAAAAAGTATTAGTCAGACTTTGAAAATGAAAAAGTGGGTACATCCTGATACTAAATGTAGGGGGGAGAAATCCTCTCACACGTGGTGTAGCCAGAATCCATGTTTTGTTGGTTCTTGACACCGAACATTCTATTGACGGCAAAATGTCCGTCTGTCCGCTCGTCTGCAGTCAATGCCAGCCGATTTTCTCCAAAATTGATGTTCCTCCATCGATCTAGCTAATGTCGCGACCCCATGATTTTGAAACTGATATTTTAATTTTGGAAGCTACTTTACATAAAGTCACTCAGACATTTTCAAAAGCTTGAAAACGATCCAAAAATTTTGATTAAATTTTGTTGTTTGCTAATGCGAATGTTTAAGAGAATAATTCAGTTCTCATTTTGGTGATATTCCCGATTTTTCGAAAATTGTCAAAAAATTTTAAACTGCAAAGTTGATGATAAAGGTTTTTGTCTCAGACAAAATTTGTAGTACAAAATTAGGTCTATAAAAAAGGTTATGTACACTTTTTGTAAAAGTTTTTGCCTAATTTGCGCTTGAAATTTACCATAAGCTTTTGTCTCAGGCAAAGTCTGTTGAACAAAATTACCACTTTAAAAAATGTCATGTTCAATTTTTTGAAAAAAAGTAGATTTTGCATAATTTGCGTTTGATTTGTACGATTCTTTTCTCACAAACCGCTCCGAATTTGTTCTTTAAATTTTCTCCACATATGTAATAAGGGACGGCAAGAAATATGGTTCTACACATTTTAGGGTAGTGCTATTTTTTTTCGAAAGTTGCAAAATAATTTCAAAACTACAAAATTGAAGATATTTTTGTCTAAAAAAAGATTGTTGCAGTAAAATAGCTATTTAAATAAATAATAAATAAATAAATAAATAAATAAATAAATAAATAAATAAATAAATAAATAAATAAATAAACGAGTGGTGCTATAGAATGGCACAGACTTTCTCGCCCTAGTTAGTTTTCTAATCACTCTACCCTTGACTAACTTTTGCGACAAGCCCCATTCTCTTCTCTGCTACTTTCATTTTGTCACCAGAAAAATAGTTTTTTTTCACATTTTCGCAATTACTCAGCTCCGTAATACTAGAACAGAAACCACAATCGTTATTACTAATATAGAAGTAGACAGTCCACGCCCTAGCGTGATGGCCGTGGTGGCTAAATTGGTGGGTACGGGCACAGCTGTTTGGAGAGCAGGTTGGCTGGTTGCCAGTCTTATTTGTGACAATTCTGTGTTGCTGCAGACAATAATTGAGGATTCCACAAACGGTTTTTAAAAATATATGAACCAATTTTAATCACAAATAGTATTAATCAAGATAAATAAACTGGAAGTGTCTGTATATGATTTTCGAATTTTTAACTTTTAAACAAATTTTCACATCTCTTATTGGATTTGTAAAACGTATGAACCCTCCAATCAATAGTTGTCTTTCGGCGCTTATGGCTATTATTAAAGCGCCAATTCGCTGTGCCCGTGTGGCCGAAGTAGTTAAAAGTCGAGTTCGGTCTGTGAGTTTCGTAGAGCAAAGCCCCTGTTTCGAGGTTGTCTCAGAGTTAATTATTTTGTCACAATTCTCGATTTATTTTATCTAGCAAAAAATATTTACCGTGTCGAGTTATACCTGCCGAGCAGAAATCTTTTTCTGCCCAAAGGACATTTATTTTACATTTTGTTACTTATTCCGCTACATAATACTGCAACTGAAACGCGAAGCTCTTATGACTATTAATGCCTAATCCCTGTGCGACCTCGGTGGCCGATGCTGTGTAGTGTCTTAGTGCTTCGAAGGCGAGGGGGGCTTGTTCGAGCCTCGCTGAGGGATAGTTATTTGCCACAATTCTGTGTTGCCAAATAAAACGATTGAAAATTGCAGGAACGTAATTGAAAATTATTTGAAGCTCTTCTACTAACAAATACAATCAATTAAGATAAATAAATTGGAAGTGTGTATGAGATTTTCGAATTTGTGACTTTTAACCCCCTTGTCATTACACATTTTCTTAGCTCCGTAATGCTAGAACTGAAACAGTTGTGCCTTGAGTAATATGGAAGAGAACAGTTCTACAATCCTGGATGGCTCAGGTTGTTAAGTGGCATGATCGGGTTCATTGCTAGGCACCAAGAGGTCGTCGGTTCGAGTCCCACATGGGGTTTTTAATTTGATGAAAGTGGTGTTGTAGAAAAATATTAGGAATTCGAGAAACTTTATTGAAAATCATTTGAAGCATTTCTACCCACAAATGCAATCATTAAATTTACAACACACTCTCCAAACTTAACCTCATTGCTTAACCTCATTTAACTACACATTCTCCAAAATAAACCTCATTGCCGGGTTCTGGTAATGAAAAAGTGGATAAATACTGTTGCTAAATTTAGAAAACAATCTCTAGCTCGTGGTGTAGCCAGAATCCATGTTGTATTAGTTCTTGATACCAAAAAATCGATTGACGACAAAATGTCAGTATGTTCGTTTGTCTGTCCGTCAGTGGTTAACGCTAGCGCCTAAACCGTTCAGCTGATTTTCTTCGAAATTGATATACCCTGATTGATCTTAACGGACTGGAGACTTCGGAAGTTTCTAACGGATATTTTCATTGGTGAAGGTTTTTTTACATTAATCGGACATTTTTCTTTTTTTATATATTTTATATTTGACAGAGTTTGACCATTTGGCGCTTCTGTGGCGTAGTATTATGCGAGCCGGCACGTTAACTCTGAGGATCTGCGTTTCAGTCTCAGAGCGGAAAAAATATTAGCTGCATGACAACACGTTTTGCTCGTTATGTAGTAGTGTAATGTTGGAGCTTTCAGAAACAATGCGAGAAAGTATGTGCTTTAGAAGCACCACTAGTTTAAAACGGTACCAAGACCCTGTATCAACAACCCTTGCTTACCGAACATCGAGAGTAATGACAATTCTTAACTCATGAAAGTGTTACATATTTATTATGAATTACAATACTAATTGCAAATAAAAAAACATTGTATGTAACACATCATCTATTAGTCTTTATGGACTTGTTACATAAATAACTATTTTGACTGAAAACATGCTGTTCATGAAATGATATACAGGTGGATCAATTTCAGCGGTAAAAACACACCAGCGTCTTCCTTATAATATTAGCAATAAATAATTGTTTCCGTTTGGTCTTCAGAAGCACATATTCCCGTAGAAAGTGTATTTTTTGTTGTTGTAATTTTCCAATTTCGTCGCTGCCGTTTCGTCGCCTGCTTTTGTAGATGTAAATACCGAGGCGCCAGACATGAAAAAAAAATTGGGTGATGTAAATTTCATATGATGAACCACTAAAAAAATGTATTATTCTTGTTATTGTTGTTGTTCTTCTTCTTATTATTTTTATTATTATTTTTATTGTTATTTTTATTATTATTGTTATTATTATGGTGACACTGTATTTTTTCTTTGTTTAGGCGACCGGATACATCATTTTCATTTTTTCGAAACCCACTACGAGCTTTAATTCATTTAACTTGGCATCGGCAGAAGTGGCGTTATTTAAAACTTTTAATTTTAGTTTTGATTTTCATTTTCCTGGGTCATGGAATATATTCCATCCCGGGATATTCAGTGAAGAAAATACTTGGAGCTTAGTAACGCGTAAATGAAGTTTGCAAGACCTGGTCTTCGTGACTTACTATCGAAATTTTTGTTTTTACAAAAGCAACTAGTTATTTAATTATTCAACTCTTTCATCCCAAATATATTTGACATAATATGATGCATAAATTTATTGTAAATTGAATACTTGAAATAAACAGTGAAGCAAAATAATAATCTTTTTTATTATATTTTTGGATATCATCACTGAAGAATGAAGCAAGCGATATGGATGAAAACACGGGCCGCGAACTTCACCTACAAATCACCAAGTAAATGAAGCAAATTATAATCAAGGAGCTTAAGAATAACAATTGCTATTACACCCTCCGAGTCCGTCATTTCTCCAATTTTCCTTCAGTGATTATCAGATAATAAGATGCTTGTGCTCACGTCCAGGCGACCTGGCAACGAGCACTCTGCTTTCATGTTCCTGGGTATCTTTTGAAAAGTCCTTATTGACTAAATGCTTTAAAGATGTGCAGTTCTTTCGTGACTCTATAATATGTTATAATAGTTATTACAAATATCAAGGAGGATAAAAGTTTTCTTTTTATAAGGTTCACATAAATTTCACAATCGGAAAAAATATTGACAAAATGTGCTTCCCAGGAAAAGAATTTCAAATATATTTTCCCGGGACTAGTGATCTTTACAGACGAATCTAAATTAACAGTAAATAATACAACCCATGTGGGGTTTGTTGCTTGGAGGTCAACGGGAGGATTTTTTATCTTGTGCACAGAATCTTAGATGTTGCATCTATTATTACTGCAGAAGACATGGCTTTGATTTTTGTTGTGAAAAACATTATTCTGACTTCAGTTGGACATTTTTGATATTTTCCGATTTGAAGAGTTCTTTCTAAGCATTATGTAATACAACTGCTGGGGACAATTTACCCCCTCATATATATACTTTGAGCCACAAGTTAACTTATGCGAACTTGTGGCGTTGGCGGGAAAGTTCAATTACTTTGGATTCCAGCCCACAAAGGTATTATTGGTAACCAAAAGGCAGATGAAATGGTAAAGACTGCTGCCAAAGGGGTAATATTTCTTAATGAACCTGTATCTCTCTCTAATATAGTGGCATTTTTAAACATAAATTCTGAGGGGAAAATAAAACAAAAATGAAAGAAAATACTTTCACATTTCTCATTCCCCCATAAAGGATTAGATTTATGGCAATTTTTTACGCTTTTTATGTTTTTGTCGTTGATTGTATTAGAGTAATAACCTATTTTTCCCTGAAGAGTTTTAGAATTGAATAATTTTATTAAATAATATTATTAAATTCTAGGCTATTAAATTGTTTTTTATTTATTTCTATCAGCTCAAAGAATTTATACCAATTTATTTTATGAGTGTGGTACTTAATTGATACGATGGTCGCTCATTAATCCTTTTATTAATTGGAAAGTGATCACTCCCCCACTTGTTCTCCATCATTTCCCAATCACTCAATAGAGCCAAGTCAGGAGATACTATAGTTAAATCAATGTTTGAATAGGAACAACCGCTGTTTATTATTGTTACATGAGTTGGATCTTTGTTATTAAAGATGACAAAGTTATCAAAATCCAAGGTGTCTGCTATTACTAGCCCGTTAGTGCAATCCCTCTCGCTCCTCCATATTTGATGATGGGCATTAAAGTCCTCTATATATATAGTCTATAGTTGGGAGTTGTTGATTCGTAGCGTCAATAATCTATTCCATTCCACTGCGTCTAAATTATTATTTTGAGACCTCCTGTAACATACAGTAATAAAAATTGTTCCATAATTTGTAATTATCATTATTGAACCTGTCTCCAAAGAACACCTGCTAAAATTTAAATTAATTGTGTCAAAGATTGTTCCTTTCTTAACCAAAATAACTAATCCACCTTTATCTCCAACAATTCTGTCGTATGTAACTGTCAAAAATCTAGTTTGGGATTTAGATTATTCAATAAAAAAAACAACAGTAAAATCTGTATGTGACTTAGGGGGCAGAAGATTATCCGCGCACATTTTCTTGAATTCCAGAATCCCATCCCGTCTATTTAACTATAAATAGTTGAAAGATGAGTAAAATATTAACATAAGTAAATAAAAATAAATTTTAAAAATCGCAAGATAAGCAATATTTGAAAAATAGTCATTTTTGTTTCTGAGTTATAGAAAACTTATTTGCGTCGGTACACGAATTGCAAGTATAATTTTTCTGCATCGCTAACAAAATAGCAACTCGCCCTCACCTCTACTCTTACCATTACAAGCAAAAGAAGAGTTCAACAAAACGTGCGCATAGTGAAGCTAAATTTACGTCCAGAAGCAAAACAAGGAGCCAGCTCAGCATTTGCTCAATGGATAAGGGAAACTAAACAAAAACCTGATCGAGATGGGTTGATTGACCCGGAAGCTGAAGTACATTATTTGTTACAAACATATTAAATTTTTAAAAAAAATATACAATACAAATGTAAACTAATTCGTTTTATATCAGTGATTTGTTAAAATAAACATTATTTTTCTTTTTGATAATCGTATAGTCTCTAATTGTATAGCACAGTTATGCAACAGAAAATAGTTTACTTTTAACTTACATTTGTGAACCGTCTTCAATTGTTTAATGTCATCTGGCAGTGCGTGGTAAAGTAACCTATATGCACTGCATGTGGATTTCTGATAGTGAGCTGTTGATACTGACACTTGAACATGATTTTTACGACGTGTTGTAATTATAAATATCAGTATTGCATGAAAATATGTTTCCACCGTTAAGTAAGTCACTAGACAAATATTAAAAATTCGTAAATATATAGGCAAGGCAGTGGTAAGATTCCAAGGTCAATGAAGTGAGGCATGCAAGAGTAACGTGGATGGCAATTATTCGAATAATTTTATTTTCCAATCTAAAGGTCTGAGTACTACATGATGATTTTCCCCAGAATTTTATACCATATCTCAGGCGGGAAAGTACATTTGCAAAATACACGCAACGAGCTGCATGAAGGCTGACAGAATTTGATAGAATTCTGAATGCGTAACATAATGAACTTAATTTAGTGATTAATTTTGTTATATGTACATTCCATTAGAGGTTTGACTGAATTGAGGGACCTAGAAATGTTGTTACCTGAACATCACCTAATTGCATATTATTCATTTTCAATGGAGCATGCGATTGTTTATTTGAAATGCAAAAATGCATTGAAACTGTTTTTCCTTCATTAACTATTAATTTGTTAATACAAAACCAAATTGAAACTTCTAAAATCGTGCTATTTATTGTTTCTTTTTTGCAAAGAACATTCGTGTCATCGGCAAACAGAACCGTTCTTCCGTTTTTAATAGACGACGGCATATCGTTTACGTAAAACAGAAAGAGGATAGGACCTAAGATCGAGCCTTACGGAACCCCATATTCAATTGGTAAAGAATTGGAAAGGTAAGTAAATAGTGTTCTTTCGTGCCAGTACAGTTTTCTATTCTTTGAGATCGATGTTTAAGGTACGAGGTTTCACAATCTAGGGCGATACCACGAATTCCATAAGAAGGTAATTTTGATAGCAAGATGCTATGGTCAATAACGTCGAAAGCTTTCGAAAGATCTGAAAATATTCCAATCGGTGCTTCATTTTGGTCCATTAATGCAACTTCACCTACAAACAAGCAACATCTTTATGAAAAGAAAAATGGCACTTTCGGGCATATTTTGATTTTCTAAACCCGTGTTGTGAGACTGAAAACGCTTCGTTTTTCCTGGGAAAAGTTTCCATTAGCGTCTAGAAAATCCTCTCTAATATTTTAGAGAAACCTGACAAAAGAGAAATTGGTCGGTTATTTTGAATTTCCTTTTTGCTCCCTTTTTAAAAAGTGTCTTAATTTTTGCTGTTTTGAAAATATCTGGAAATATTCCTGTAAATAAAGAAGCATTGAAAATGTGAGTTAAGTGGTGTATAAAGACAGGTACACAAGTTTCCAATACACAATGCGGAAATTCATCTAAACCAGATGAATGTTTATTTTTGAATTACTGACTATTCGTAAGATTTTGTTAGATGACGTTTCGGAAATAAAAATCGCGTCGAAATTTTTTTGGGAAGGTAATGATGTTGAATTTGACGGTTTTAGTCCCTTCGCGAGTTCAACCGCAATTCTAGGGAAGTGTTGGTTGAAGAGATTTGCCACTTTCTCCGGACTACTGGCTTCTCCTTCATTATCCTTTAAAACAACATTCTCTACTAAGTAACGAGATGATGTGGTCGTATTTTTTACAATATTCCTCATTGCTTTAGTTTTGTTACAAGCATTTAAAATATCATGATTATTTTTCATTATTTTTTGCCTGAACTATTACATTTCTTAAGATTCTTTTGTATTCTCGGAAGTGGACATGGAAACCGGGCGATACGTTATGTTTAGAAATAATTTAGATTATATTTTTCTTTGCTGTCCACAGCGTTATAAACTGTGTCCCATGATTCCTTCAGCAAGTAGTCCGTCAATAATTTTATGTTAAGTTTAGTGAATGCTCTGCACATGCGTGAATAATTTGTGTCAGTGTTCATGTTATTAGTAATTGTAAGAATGTATGCATCATGGTCATTGTAACCTAGATTAGTCATTTTTATTTCATATCTAGTTGTGGTTTTGTTGTAATCTTTTAATATAAAGTTGTCATTGTCTTTCAACTGAGGTTCTATTAGTAATATGAGATCAAAATTGTTAGTTTAAAATGTAAAATATTTTGTATTTATAATGCTACGAAAATTCCATTGTAATATTTTAATTTGTGTAATCATTATATGAATAATATTTTTGTACGGCATTTTTTTCATTTATCGCTTTATATTTTCGAGAAACTGGACAATCACGGGAAATAGATTGGTGGCTACCCTTGCAGCTCGCACACCTCGGAGTCGCCCCTTTGCACGGTCCACCATGATCTTCCTCCCCGCAAGCCACAGTGTTTCTTACCACAGCGATCTTTCACTGTATGACCAAATTTTTAGCATTAGACGATGAACAAAGGGTTCTATTTTGGATTTCACCAAGTAAGTGAAGCTTCTTTCGGCAAAAACCTACCTTCAAACACGATTAGCGCGGATGTGGTAGGGATCTACTTCTTTTCGTC